CGGTTTTTAGTTTAACTGATCACAACTACCTTAAGGAAAATATATTTTTCAAGCTAAAGATTCTGGAGGTGTTCTCTACATCACACAATCTCAAACTGAACAAAAACAAGACACAAATCATATCTTTTACCTAAAACGGCACAAATAATACTTTAAGTGATGGTGTAACTAATTTAGAACCAGTGACTCAACTTTTCTTTCTTGGAATTATAATTGACTCAAAGCTGGACTGGAAGAGCCACATAGATAAAGTGGCAACACAAATGTCAAGATACTGCTATGCCCTGAAAATAATTACACAAAATATATCCACTAAGGCTGCGATGTTAGCATATAATGGTTATATTCAGAGTCGTATCAGATATCTGTTTAAAATCTGTTTTTCCGTTAAGCCCCCATACGGAACGGCAACTCTCGGAAGTTGAGAAAATTGTGAGAGCTAAGGATTAACGAGGTCTTATCTTTTAACGTGTGATTCCTAACACGGATGTGGCATAATGCTCGGTCTGCACATACACAAAAAATATTCTGGTATTTGTCAAAGAAAATATATTTCTTTTTGCGACTTATGATAGGAACTATGCCCACAACACATTTGACCTATCTTCAAAGAAATATACCTTTTTCAATCATTAATATTTATAAGAAGATACCTGAATCTCTCAGAACTTTGTCTTCTATGATCATGAAGAATAAATTGAAAACTTTGCTTCTCTCCAAAGCTTATTATTCGCTGGAAGAATTCTTCAATGATAATTTAAACTAATGTTGTTCGTGTTGAATATTTCGTGTCGTATCATTCTGCATTTTGATGTAGTTTAGTCTCTTTTGAACCCTACATATAGATGTATATGTTGGTGTTCTGTATCTAATATAATAATACTACATTAAGTATATTGACTGTGATAAACTTGTTATTCATACATCTGTGGCCATTTATATTCTTATATTCTTAACCAATATTAATGATACTGCTTCATGATTTTCTACTACTTCTATAACGTTCAATGTCTAGTCTTGGTAGATGGAAAAGCATTCTGGTTAGAATATTCGATTTTGATTTGATATTCCATATTATGCAATAATAATGTTTTGATATTCATTCCGAAAGTTTTTCACTCAGTGTGAGTGTATAAAAATAACCATTCAGTCAGAATGTAAATTAATCACAAGTTTGTCTGATACGAGTAAAGAGATAGATGTCTAGTGATCCAGTTAATATGAGAAGCAAATAGAAGTGTTTCTTAACCCATTAACCGCCGAGCTATGAATGAGGGGTTGATTAAAGAAAAAATAACATTATTGGATTCATTAGGCCCTACTGAAAGTTCTTCCATGAAAAAAAAATTATTCATACAGGGTGTGACGAAAAATATAATGTTGCGCTTTCGCTACAATGGCCTAATCCGGTAAAAAAATTATTCAAATTTGAAAATGTAGAGTACAAAATATATATTATGCAATGAAACGAAACAGATAAATTGTTAGTGGACATTGCAGTTTTCACACATGAAAACTGTCTGAGTACGAGTTGGTTTTCTTTGACCCTGATTGCTCACACGAGTTATTTCAGATTTATTATTAGCAGTTTGTGTGATTTCTTCAGTTTTCATGAGAGCCATAACCAAATACGATCTGACTTCAAGTTGTGTAATTTTGGGGTGCGTCATTTTGTATAATTTCCAAACATTCACAATGACGCTATCTACACTATTTATGAATAAAGGCCACAACCACTTCTTTCCGCGCACTCTAATGTGATAATTCGCGATTCCATTGTCATGGAGATCATGTATTTATTATATTCATTTATCACCAATGGTTGCAGAATATTTATTTATTTTTTTCAGTTTTCTGTCATAACGCTTTACAGGTTGAATTGGATTTATAGAAATATTATTCGTGATGAGGGTCACAACTCACAACACATGACTTTGATTTTGAATGAAATCTATAGTCGAAACGTCCTCTCTTTTTTTATGGTGCTTGTTGATTCAAGCTTACAATTCGAAATGCGGTTGTCTCGTATCGTACCTGTTGCATTCATGTGTCTTTCGCCAAGAAATGAAAAAGATTATAGGACGAGAAGTTATCAAAAAATATCCTGTGTGAGGAAGGATGCTCAACGACTTTCAGCAAACTGTCAACATTTGCTCCAAGACCCATTTCGATTTTTTCCTTTCTTGCTCCACCGTAAGGCATAAACTGAAATAAATATCCATCTTCTGAACAGAGGCACCATATTTTGAATCCGAAACGGACTGGTTTTCCTTTTATAAACATTTTAGCAGAGTGTATGGAACCATTTCTTCGTCGATTGAAAACAGTCCGAATTGTAAATTCCTTTCATTTATAGCGTCAAATAATGGACGTAACTTAGCAAATTTGTCATTTTTGTCTAGCTCAGCATTATCACACAAATGTAGGTTTCTTTTTATATTTCAAAATTTGTTTCTTCTCATACAATTTTTCACAAGCACCTACACCTTTGTCTTCATCTCTACTCCAGTACATTTCTTATTCCATTGCTAACATTTTACGCTGATGGTGCGAAAACGCAACATTATTTTTGAATGACTGTATTTTTTTTATACAAATATATCGAGATTTTTTGTTGTCACTCCACGAGAACTATATTTCCTTCGTAAAATGCCAAATAACGAGATGAACATGTTTTGCTATCCTGAAGTTACAGGATGATCTTGAATAGGATGACTGAATAATGAAATTACGCAAATTTGATAGTTTTATGAAAAAAAGAAAAACCTGATGTTATCTCCACAAAAAAATAATGAGTCACCAATGACATTTAGCAAATATGAAACTGAAAGATAAATGAGAATATTGGTACTTGCTTTTGTAAAAAAAGAATGTTAATATAACGTTGCGTTTTCGCATCAACGGCGCTTAATGGAGTTAATTCGGACTTAGCTTATTTTTAATTAGAGCTAGATTGAAATAAAATAAATTTCTTTGAATAGAAGGAACCAAAAATACTACTGCCTTCTGACAATCTAACACAGGTGCCTTCTCGGTCTCATTTCAAAGCAAATAAAAAATCAACGATAGTGATGAGTTCTTGAGAAAGACATAACAACTGGTCAAATGTAATGAATTGAAGCTTTGAAGCTGCTTTTGTTATGATTCGATCTTTGCCAAAAGTCTGTATTTGTTTTGATGGTGAAAATTGTTTTTTTGCCACGGCATAATTCTGATGAAAGTAAAGGTTCACTTTTGCTCATCATCATGTACAATCCCATCTTCTTCACTATTGAGGACACTTCGTTTCCTTCAGCTGCAGTTACATTTCATGCATGATCCTGGAAATTTTCTTTCGAAACGATATCTTCTGTGGTGGCTCGAGCTCAACACTTCTCTTCGGAAAAATTTCCAAATGTTCTGTTGATTCTGTTGATTGATTCTATATCGCAACCAATTTTATAATTTACAAAGCTGTCTTTATGTGTGTTGTAGAGAAACAAAGAATTACGATAATTACATTCCAATAATGATATTCATATGTTATTTTAATAATTTGTTTTCATAATTTATTCAGGCAGACAAGTGGTGGACTAAAATTTTCAAAGAACGAATCATAACTTGTATTTTCACAGAACGGGTATCAAATATTCAAATTATTTCCTGAAAATGCAAATTCGATTTTTCAAAAATTGATTTGTTCAAAATGATGTTCACTATCAATAATGAGTAAAAATGTAATTTCTAGATGATCGTCATTTCCAATATTGATTGCATTCCAAATGCAATTTTTTTCCACAATTTTTCCAACTGAAGGCATGAGCAATGAAAACCATTCTGATATATCATCTATAACGAAACAAACCAATCTAAATATTCCTTTGTTTGTGAATAAAACGAAAAATATTCTCGGGCAGTCAAGCGGCGTTGGAAACTCTTGGTTACTGCCGAGCAACGTCTAAATTGGTAGCAAATTTCCAAAAACGACTCTCCTCAATAGAAAAAATAAGCTCAAAATACGTTTTTTCCGTTAACCAGCTATCGCACCCCTACGAACGACAACCCTCGTAAGTCTAAACTTGTGCGAGCTAAGGACTAACGAGGTCTCACCTTTTAACGTGTGATTCCTAACACGGGTTGGACGATAGCAAGTGAAAAATCGATCGTTCAGCCTGAGGCATGAACCATCGACTTACACATCGGCCGATTGACTGAGTGAACGAAACACCCACGTTGAACCGCCTGGCTACCGACCGACTTAACAGATTTAAGATAACGTTGCGTTTTCGCATCAACGGCGCTTAATGGGTTAATGGAGATTCCTGAGACCAGAAATCAAATTACCAAATAAACGAAATTATGGGGAAGGAGCAAATTGTTCTAGATTTTAAAACAATTAGTGCAGATATTATTCATGTAATTTCAAATTTAATAATAATATTTTTTGTTAAAGAAAGTTTTTGGCTTTCTACCACTCCATCTGGAGTGGTAGATGGAGATGGAGTAATAGAAAGCTGAAAATTTTCCCAAAAATTATTCACTCCTAAAAATATAACCCTTTCAAATTAATAATAATATTTATAGAATGGCCGCCTTATGTATGGTAAATGCTGAATATATTACTATATGTTTAAAGTTGGGTTTATTTTCTATAAAAATAACAAGAACTATCATCAGATTACGACTGAATCTGTGTATTAATTAATTTACCGCCTGCAATTGACAACTGTACCTTCATAACACTCTTTTTTACCCTTAACCACTGTAATAAATCTGTCATAGTGGAAAACGTGTTTAAATATTGTGTTCATAGACTCTAACATACTCTAAGATCATTCTTGAAATTAAGGTTGAGTTCTTGGTCAATTTAGAGCCAATTCACATAGACGAGGCCTGTAAATAAATGATCCAATGCCCTTCAAAGTGACTCATAGATTTTGGATTATTTTTTGCTAACGATTTCATTATCTAATGTTTTGCCATTAGCTTTATTACTATTTCGACACTGTTTTCTATTTCAGGCACCCTTTACGAGTCGGACAAAACTTCGACGACAACTCCCCTCGACCCGACCCCCAACTCCGATAAGCAATCGTGCAAGATCTCGCGCTCCGCCGATGATCTCGAAGCCAATCAGAACACAATCGAGAGCAGCGCCCTCTCCGAAATGAACCGCATGCTGGGACCCACTTCCATTGATAAACCGAACGAAGACTACACCGTGATCGTGCGTGAGCATCGTAACGACCACCATGGCCACAGCCATAAACACGGCCACGTCCACGCCGCGCCACGGAACTTCTCCTCGGTTGCGTGGATGGTAATCATGGGTGATGGCCTGCACAACTTCACGGACGGCATGGCGATCGGGGCTGCCTTCTCGGGAAGTTTGGCCGGTGGGTTCTCGACGACGGTGGCGGTGTTCTGCCACGAGCTACCGCACGAGCTTGGCGATTTTGCCGTGCTGCTGCAAGCAGGAATGACCATCAAGCAGGCGCTGTTCTACAACGTGCTTTCGAGCATCCTGTGCGTGTTTGGGAACGTCTTTGGGCTGGTGTTGGGTGAGTAATAACTTTTTTGATAAGTTATTTTTGGAACAGTTGTTCATTGTTATGTATTAGTAGCGTTTGTCTTATTTGCATATTTAATGGGAAAAAAATTAGCCAAAGTATTTTCCACTTCAAATGATATATTCAGTCAACACTTTATCAACAATAATTCACATCAGGAAAGTATTCCTCATGGTAGTTTTTGAAATTATTTTACAATACTCAATAAAGACATTTTTTACATTACTACACGCAAAATACAGATATAGTAGATAATAAAATAAATTGAAATAAATAATACACCTGGTCATCTTTCCGCGTTGGAAAGGGTAGTGTGTAATATCCTCCAAAGAACCTTGGACAATGTTCATTGTTAGTGCCAGAGGGAGCAGATGTCTGCAAACCCCAGAAACACTTTGATAGTTTCATTCACCAGTCAAAGGAATCTGGGTGATTTAGCTACAGTTGTCTTTGATGGTGATGGTGATCATCGATAAAAAACTGAAAGGTCACTTGAGAAAAATATTCTACAAAAGAAATGGAGCAATACAGGCAATAACCAGAAAAAGCAATGGAAACTCATCAATAATCTTAATAAAGGCAATAACCAAAGTAATCAAATAACTAATTTGGAAATTGAGGGACAAATTCTTGAAAAAATTAACAAATATTTCGTTGATATTGGTAAATCAATAATGAGTAGTGTAAACCTACAAACAGCGTCATCTACTGAGTTTGAGGAAATCACAAGTGATTGTTCAATGTACCTATACAATACAAACTCCCAAGAAGTTCACGAAGAATTATATAAGTTGAATAAAAATGCAGCACCTGGTTATGATAACATAAATACTAACGATCTTTTAACACTCAAGGATTATATTATACCTATTTTAGTCAAATTAATAAATGAATCTTCCAAACAAGGTATATTGCCAGATATTCTCAAAGTCAGCAAGGTACCACCTATACACAAGTCAAGACCAAATAACATTATTGATAACTATAGACCTATTTCAGTTCCGACTCTGTCAAAAGTAATAGAAGTTATTTTAAAGAAACGTATTATCAATTACATGAAAAAATGTGTTGCCTTTGACAATTACCAATATGGATTCCAAGAAAATAGTAGCACCCTGAGTGCCACTATAGATTTCATTAACCACATTGATTCTTCACTGGATGATAAATACTACACTATTGCTGTATTTGTTGATCTACAAAAAGCATTTGATGTTGTTGATTTCTCTATATTACTTAAAAAAATTGAAGAAATGGGAATAAGAGGAAATGCTCTCTCTTTACTAAAAACATACCTTCTAGATCTCAAATAATTCACAATGGTTGATGGCATTTCAAGCCAAACTGAAACTACCAAGCAGGGTGCCCCAAGGCTCAGTCCTTGGACCCCTACTCTATACATTACATATGTCATTGAAAACTGCTAATATTATAGGTAGATACTTTGAATTCGCAGATGATACTGTTCTTGTATATAAGGGTAAATACTTGGAACAACTCGAAACACTAGTAAATGCCTACCTTAAAAGGTATCACAGATGGCTTGCAAAAAATAAACTTCAGATCAATGTAAAGAAAACTACTTTTATAATCTTCCCTCAGAAAAACATGAACCAACAGGACATCAAAGTGGAGATAGGAGGCAAAGAAATAACGAGAGTCCATAATACCAAATATCTGGGACTAATAGTTGATGAAAACTTATGCTGGAATAACCATATCTATCACCCATGTAGAAAAAAAAGTAATTCCAATGGTTAGTGCCCTATATCGTTATAGAACCTACTTAAGCCCATCTTCACTCCATCAAATATACAGTGCATATTTCTTATCAATTTTTAGCTATTTAATTCCTATAAGGGGTACATGTGGACAAACATTATTCAAAAAAGTAAAAATACTTCAAAACAAAGTTGTGAAAATGTTATTCTGGCTTGATTACAGAACCTCAGCTGATACTTTATACAGTGTAACCAAGATACTGCCTATTCAGGATGTTCTAGAAATCGAGCAAGGTAAATTTGCATACAATGTTATACATGAACAAGTTAAACAAGTCAGCTTCACAAATACAATACTCGTTCGTACCCATTATAATGTCTTTTTAGAACCTGTACTTACTAATATTGGCTTAAATAATCCCATTACACTATGCATGAAAACTTATAATTCTCTTCCCAAGGAAATAACAGATAGCCCCAATTTCAGTATCTTACAGTTATCGTTTGACATTATTCAAAACAATATTATTTGAGAATGAAAACTTTACCATTCAAAAGCGGATAGATATGATATTAGCGATTGGTGACTGTTTAGAGTATTGCCTTTTGGCGTCGAGGGAGTATGCCCAAAAATATCCAGACCAGAATAATAATAATAACCTTTATTACCCAACAATTAAAAACCATTTACAAACTAAGTATGTTGAAGAAATAATATAGGTGCTTATTACAAACTTACAATTTGAGAAAGTGAATAACAAAAATATAATATAATGAAATAAAAAAAAAACTATACCAGAAAATTAAAAATTCTCCATGAAAAATTGAGATGCAGTTTCAACAATATATTCTAGGGAATCAAAATTGATTTCACACAAATTTGAAATTAAATTGAAATTATTGCAAACGCTAAAGATAAGTGACTTGAGGTACAAATTGGTTCTGGCCAGTCGGCTGTAAAAATTTTTCGTACTTCTAGTTCTAAAATGAGGCACAAAGAAATTTATAAGAGATAAGCATCTACATATGAGCAAATCAATAAGGAAAATATTATCAAATAAGTCAACATTTACTATTTCACTTCGAATATGGTTTTTTATAGCTAGTAAAACACCATCGCCACTTTCTTGAGATACAACATCTAATTTACGGTCTTTTCAGAAATATTGACTATTGGAGACGTCAGACGATATATTAGTTTTGCATAAAGCAATAAGATCGGATACCTCCTGACTCACATATAATAAAAAGCTTCGCATTTTGAAGGAATTCCGCGAACGTTTTGAAAATAGCAGGTTTCATGGATACTGTTGGGCAGTTCTAATTTTTGCTACAATTAAAGGAATATTAATTTTATATTTTATTATCAGCTTTGATTCGCCACCCTGTATACATTCATTAAGTTTGTCACGAGTTTTCTTGTACAATTCCTGTTGCTGTGGAGTTTTATCTAGGGATAATCTGATTTTATTCTCGAATCTAGAATTCACAAGATTTTTTGAATTCCTGATAATATCCTGAAAGTTTTTCATTTGCCAGACTAATTCTACCAGGCCGTTTTTTTGCAGAATCAAATCGGCCCAGTCGAATTCTTAGTTTGGATATTTCAATGTTAGGTTGAACGATTTTAATGATCTCCGACACTTCAGCTTTGTCACTGTTTTTGTGATTCCCTCCTGATCATGTTCGTCCAAACCAAAAATGATTAGATTAGACCGACGCTTGGCTCTTTCCTCTACTTCATTTACAATTTTCTCTAAAATTCGATAATCCAAATTTACTCGAACAGAGTAAACTTGCTTCAAAATTTGAACTTCATCCTTTAATGCCTTCAATTTAATTTGAAATGCACTGTTGTAAGACAACTGTCACAGCAAACACGTTAATCATCGTCTTTGAATTCATCCTTACAATAACCACATTTTTCCATTTTTTCGACTCCAAGATAATCAGCACGCCACTGGTTTAAAGTTCAATACAAGTGCGAAAAAAGTGCGAAATAAAAATAATGATAAGAAATGTTGTGGGGTTTATGATAATAACTGGCACCTCAACTAGACGATTACAGCAAATTGATGGATAAATGATGAAAGAATCAAATCCAAAATATACTACAAATGTAGATCTCCCTTTTCTGAAAAAGGTGATGTTAAATTTGAGATTTCAACACAATTTTAAACCACTCAAACAATTGAAAAACTCAAATACCAAACACAGGCTATTTACCTATATTCAAATCATCCTAACAAGTTGGTTTTCAAAGGACTGCTACATGAATTTCCATTGGGATCATCTGACCACAAACTCATTTCAGTGTTGAGTGAATTAACGATAAATGTTGAGGAACAATCTAAGCCGCGCAAAGTTTGGCTCTACAGATCTGCTAAACGGGGGAATCTTCAAAACCATTTCCTAAATTTCGCTTGTCTAGATGTTTGTTTCAGATCTAAAGATCCATCAACTTGTGCTTCTGAAGTCACGAAAGTTATTCTTTCATCCATGGATGCATATATTCATTTTCTAATTCCTTCTAACGGCAAACCTTGGTTCAACAAAATTTGCGAGCAAGCTGTCACCTTTGAAAATCTCGCCTAGTGGCAGTGGCGCAAAAATCCCAGTGTCGAAAACCGAACTAGGTTTGTTAACACTCGAAACAACTGCAAATTTAGAATAAATGAAAGCAAAGAACTTCATAAAAATTGGAATAAATTGCTTGCCAATCCCTAGATCCTTCTGGTCAGTAGCTAAAGATGTTAATCAAAACTTCACAAAATCCAAAATTTCATCACTAGCACAAGCGGATGGTTCAATTGCAACAAGAGGTGTTACGTTTGATATGCGTGTGTGGCATGAGAGTTTGCTGACCAAACTTCGATGTTATGGCTTGTCGGATCATTTTTGTGAGTGGCTCTTCAGCTTCCTGAAAGAATGTTGCCTACAAGGGGTCGTCGATGGATATCTCTCGAATACTTTTACCATCAACGCTGGTGTTCCCCAGGGATCCATATTGTCTCCAACCCTCTTTTTATTGTATATCAACGAGTTATTGGAAAAAACGAAGAATCCAATATTTTGCTTTCCTGACGACAGCACACATGTCTAGAAGTAATTTCGAATTGGTTGAAAGTAACCAGGATCAATTCAATGCTACAAAAACCAAGGCAGCGGTTTTCTCAAAAAAAATAAATGTCTCCGAGCCGAATATAATAATGTCAGGTCAGACAATTCCACTTTTATTTGTAACTAATGTTACTGCAGTTTCGTCCTATAAAGACATTTTCAAACAATTACAATAAACTCGTTAGTTAGAAATGAAAGTGGTAAATAAACATAGAAAGTTTCATTTCTCATTTTTATCTTCTTCTGTATAATTTGAAGTACTTCTTCGACAGGAACGTTGGTGTAGAGGCTTTCCACGTTGAAACTGATCAGTTGATCCTGCTCTTTGACTTCGATTTTCCCTAGTAGTTCAACGAAATGCCTTGAATTTTCCATGAACTAAGCGCGATCGCATTTGTGCCGCTCACGGAAGATATCCAATGAATCATATATTAGCCCGTGTTTACGGGACTAATTATGGTACCTTCTAAGCGCCGTGACGTCCTTCGTCAGCGAGCTTTTCGGCGGAAAGAACTTGAAGAATTTCTGAGACAGCCTCCTGATATGATCAGTGACCATCCCAATTTCAGCCAGACCTAACAGGGCAACCAATAAAATGTATCTGTCACTATTCGTGCAAATACAGAGCACCTGCATCGTCTCAAGTCTCCTTAGAGGAATTCTCTTAAGGCTGCCCAATAGGGGATAGGCACACAACATACCTGAGGTTCTTATTATTTCAAGATTATTTTGTGCGTTATGTGCAGAAAAATAAAAGAGGTCCTGCAGAACATTGACTGCTTTCAATAGTAGATTCAGTGTAATAGAAAGGCATCAACTTTAAATTCCTACCACTGACAGCCCCACAGGGAAAGGTTAATTGGAAGTGTGAAAAAAGGTATAGAAAGATTCTTGTATCACTAAGTGAGGAAACATCACAAATACTTTTTTTAGAAACAGAGTATAGTAAATTGTAGGCCACTGACCAAAACTTCCCGAGATACATCAGCTTTAGAAACTCTTACTCTCATTTGTTTTGAAGTCAAAACTTATCCCCTTTGCGAACAGACTTTTTTTGTGAAAAATTCTTTCTATAACAGTTATGTTTTGCGTTGTATAATATTTAGTAAATATAAATATATAGCTGGGATGATTCTGCAACCGTGTTAGGAATCACACGTTAAAAGGTAAGACCTCGTTAGTCCTTAGCTCGCACAAGTTTTTCAACTTCTGAGAGTTGTCGTTCGTATGGAGGCGACAGCTGATTAACGGAAAAACAGATTTTAAACAGATATTTAGGTAACTGTTATGCTTTCCAGTGAGCCATCCTGTATAATATTTAGTAAATATAGATATTGTATTTTAGGATATAAGCATTTTGCATGGTTTATTTGACTTGTGATGTGTACACTGTATATTGATGAATATTATTCACTGTATATTCGTGAATATTATTCTATTCTATCACACTTGACATTATATATCAATGTTTGAGTCGTTTGTCATTAAGGAAGTTAATGGGAAAATTCAGTAGATAAACTTCCTACATTTTTTTTCAGGTAACACAGAATATGCTAGCTCATGGGTATTCGCCGCAGCAGCAGGTATGTTCATCTACATTGCATTGGTAGACCTGATACCCGAGCTTAGCTCAGCACATGAGGATGAAGGCAATTTGATGCAGTGTGTGCTCCATTTGGGTGGACTTCTCGTAGGTTTGGGCATCATGGCTCTTATCGCATTTTACGAGCACTCTCTGATGAACCTATTCAATGATTCATTTTGATACCAATGATATATGAACGGATTCATATTTATTTTTTACTTTTATAAGGAAAGTAGTGCTAAAACAAATTTCGCTTTTACCAAAAGATAAACTCATTACCCCGCAATGGTAATGGGCTGGTTCTGTATATTCTAAAGGTTGCATTTTCAATACACTTTTTATTTCAATTCATACATGTTCCACTTCATCATTATACTTCCTCTTTCATTCACCACACTTTCCATTACTTTCCTATTTGTGTATTCATCTCGTCTTCCATTATTTATATGCAGTACTATGCACTTCTTGATTGGAATACTTAAAAAGGCTGGTAGTACTTAGAGTTTTTGTGTTCATTATGACCATCAAACCAGTCCATTTGCTTTCAATTTATAGTTTTCTACGACTGCTTTGGATAATAATTGATTTGAAAAAAGTGATGTTGACTAATTTTAGAATTTGTTTCTTCAAGTTCATAGACAAGTAGGTATTTATTTTTTATGAGTTTCCTTAGTTTTAAGTTTGATATTTTGAGTTTTGAGTTGATTTTAGTTTCAATAAATATGTATATATATGGAGGCTTTGTTTTATTATTACTTGCATGGGTCTAGAATAGTTTCAGTTCATTACACGTGATATTACACAACTCGTTTCAATTTCTTGGTAATAGAACTTCATGTTTTAAGTTTTGTCCTATAAATACGACTTTTCCATATTGAGGTCACTATCCAACCACTAATCTAAATATAGGTTAATCAGTGATTTAGGGTAACATTTTGGGAACACAATTCATGGATGAATGAAAATTCATTAGTTCAATTCCATTATTGTGGTACTTGATGGAAAAAAAGATGTATTGAATTTTTTTTTATATTAGTGATCCAATGATTTTTCATATAATTTATCATATATCAATGAGCAGTAGTGTTCGCTGCAGCAGGAGGTTCCGCATACAACGGGATGTATGTTCGTATACGATCACCAATTATCTCTCGTCTTTCTATCTGCTTTTATCTGGTCAGACACCAACAATTCCGGAAGTGAATGCTCCCGTTGAGATGGAGATGACCAACATTTTAACATGATACCCATCCATTTCTACATGTACTACATAAATTGTTGCAACAATAGGCTGCATATTCATCACAGTGTAGACAAAGTTGGACAAGTAACTCGGAAGTTGCTGCACAGTATATGCAAATATTTCTAGAAATTCCCATATAATTATATAAGTACAATTCCGGTAAAACATTTGCAGCACTGATGGTGGTGTCCTATTTCTGGAGTTGAATCTTTTGTCCTCTTCAGAAGTGGAGCTGAATTTCTCGACACATATCTACAATACAGTCTGGTACATAGGCTGACAGGCCAATAAACATGGTGAATGTAATACACTGTCATTTGCTAAATTTTGATTAGAAAGCCGCATACTTTCGGCATATAATCCCACTCTTTCAGAAAGGGCATATTGGTATTCACTATTAGATATAGAATTATTCATATCCTCGATTTTCTCTTATGAACACAGAGTGAAGGGAGGGTGAGACTACCACATCTACGATTAAAAACATAAAAATCGACTCATGATTTTGAACTTCACTCAGTATGTAGTGGTAGTATCTACAAGAGTATACCAAAAATGAACAATGAAAAAATCGAAGCCATTTTGTCAACACTTGGTGATGTTGAAAATTAGTCCGATGGTGAAGGAGGAGAGGTTTCCAACTTTATTGATGATGTTTCCGAAGTTGCCGTTGAGGTCGTCTTCATCGGTGAAGAAGTGGCGTTGAAGCCATGGTGGGTGTGAAAGCTGATGAGGGTGCTGTTATGGAGGACCTAGACATGCTGAAGCTGAAGGATCTGCAAGATGAAGGAATCGAAGGTGATTCTTCAAAGGACAGAAGCACCTTGATAATAGGCCTTCGTACGGATCCGAAAGAAAGACGATCATACACACACTATGTTGGTGTTGTTTTTATGGAGGTTGATATGAATATGACGACCTCCAGTATACCATTTCGGTGATGAAAATAACTGAAACATGGTGCGAGGCGTGCGACAGACCACGTCAAACTCTTGTCGCCAGAGTAGAACTCCATTTTATTTAATGTAGTTCATTCATAATGATGAATAAATATTATAATCCTCATTATTATTTTCGTTACTATAACAGTGGATCTATTTTATGAAAAAATATCACTCATGGTCAACAAAAAAAATCTTTTGAAAGTATGGAAATTACAACGTTGCCATACCAAAAGCTCCATAGGAGGCTAGGTGGAGGAAAGTATTGTACCCAGATCTAGATATTTTTTGCACTGTTTCTAAGCTCAAAAATAGCGAAAAAGGCTCTTTCAAGGTCAAACGTCCGGAGAGAGTACCACCTGACGTATGAGTGTGGAAGAGATGGAGAGTACATCGAGTGACCAATCCACCTATTATTAACATGCCAGTTTAACAAGGTTTATTCAACATGCGATTCCCCCTATGAGGTACTTAACCCTTAAAAGCCCTGCGTTACATATAAGTAACAGCCGCAAAGGTGAATAATGAATTTTATTGTGCTTAAACTTTTGCNGAAGACCATCATCTTCACTAACGAGGTCACAAGGACATAGAGTAAGTGAAGCTATTCGATATGATAGAACTGATCATCTCCTTGTTTATGTACCCGATCAAAAAAGAAGGCGGTGCGCTATGGAACTCTGTACCACAAGTGCAAGAACGATGTGCAAGAAATGTGACATTGGCCTTTGTTTGACATGTAATGTGGGTTTTCATACTAAATGATCAAAAAGGTAGTGATAAAGCCCAGCGTTACATATATGTAACACATTTTTTCTACAATCAATCGTATTAAAAAAAAAATAAAAATATATTGTGGTAGTTTTATTAACCCTAATTTAGTGCAAAAGTCATGAATATACCTAAATTTTATGAAAAAAAATAATTCGGGCTTTTAAGGGATATTCAGGGATAAAAGAAAAAGACATGGTAGTTTAAAGAGGTCTAACGTTTCAACGTGTTATCCTAATGAGGAACGTATACAGGGTGTTTCAAACGATCGTGCACTGAAATTGAGGTTATGGGTGAGCGCTGGAGTGTGAGTAAATCATTGAGGTGGTCCTCGAATTGGTCGTCAATTTGATATTCGAATTAGGACGGGTCCTTACGATGATTCGTGACTGCTGACCACCACATCCGTTAACTTTCAGATGTAAGGAATTTGTGGTTTTTTTTACATGGAGTGACGTCACAATATTTCCTGATCTAGGAAAATTATACATCGACGATTGGCGCGACATGTCAGAAGGGCACTTGGTTAATAATAGTCGGGTCGTCGCATGTAATAATGTAATCATTAAATAAGAGGGGGAAGAAATGCAGACATTATTAATAAAGAAAAAAAAGATTGTGACATGTCACAACAGGATTGAGTCGTATATTCTTTAATAGTCGTATCGCCACTTGTCGCACATAACATGAAAGGGGTGACCAATAGTTTCATATCTTCACATATAATAAAAAAAATAAGCACTTACGGTTTATAAAAATTGATATAGAAGAAAACTGATGGTGATGCTCACATTGAGGAGAATCCAGATCTGCAATGAAATGGCCACTTCCGGTCGCCTGATTTCGATTATTTTGGTATCAATGGATTCGTCTCGATTTCAAGAAACTTATTCAAGCATTTCAGAAGTCTAAATGTCATAGTAGGCTAACTTCGTTATTATTGACGATATAAGGGCATGGATCTTACCTCACAATTTCTACTGGAGAACACGATAATAAAAAATTATACGGTGTGTAACATTTTTCAACAAGACAAGAAGCGCCGCTCGTCCCCTCCAAATCATTTCGATTAGTAAAGCAATATCTCATGACGTACTCTTTTCTTATTTTAGTGAGAAAGTAGTACTATTGCCCAGGTGGAATTGAGTTTGTGGAGGCAAGGACTTTTGATTTTTATAGGAGTATAATCAAAAATATTGAAAAGGTATCTCCAAGTTATTTGGTCTCATTTGGACATTAAATAACATAAATATTGTACACCCTTTTCAATAATCATCACAGTAACTCATTTACACTTACACAGGACGCACTTCAATGAAACAATGAATAAGGTTTACCTGTTTGTTTTAATAAAATAAAAAAACATCAGAGAGTCAGCAGTTTAAAAAAATACCAAAGGTTCTATACTTCTCATCCGTTTCTTCAATAGGAATATTTATCCATCTGATCAGTAAAAAATATAGAAGCTCACCCCAGGGTTTAACACATTAAACCTCACAACTCCTGGTCGTAATTCTACCTCTAGCAAAGATATTCTTCTTTCACTTCTTTGATATGCGATCCAAGATTTCGGAAATCTTTATCAGCAGTTATGTAGGATCTAGGTGCTTAGGAGTTATGCCCAGCTCTTCAAGCACTGTCTTCACTTCTGGGGATCCGACTTTGGTTTCTATTTCTAACTAATAACTTCAACTACAAGCTTGATTTTGGGAACACTATTAGGTGCTAATTGAGTGCTAAATGATGAGTATCTTAAAATTTTCTAATTAATAAACAAAAGCCTCCAATTTCGCTAAACAACAGATCTAAGAATCAGGTCTCTCGAAAACGAGGACAAATGCTCTATTAGGTATAAACTAAGCGTGGTAATAAAGTGCTAAGTAGGTGCTTGCAAGAAATTAAGATGAAAACGACCGCGAATAAATGAAAAAAATTCGAGATACCTGATTTGAGAAAGAAATTTAACAATATGCAATAAAGTCTCGAGATACTCGTAAACAATCAAAATAAAGTGCTAATTAAGTGCTCACTAGATAAATAATAGTGAACCTAGATTCCATAATGCCTATGGGGCATTATGGAAAACCACTATGACTGATGGACTGAGTTCTTACAGTACGTTCCTCGATAAGTAAGGGTATGAGAATATGGGGCTTATGGACCCGATAACCACCATTAAAAAAAATGTTTAAAATATGTTTTTCCGTTAACCAGTTATCGTACCCCTACGAACGATAACCCTCAGAAATCGAACTTGTGCGAGCTGAGAACTAACGAGGTCTTACCTTTCAACGTGTGATTCCTAACACGGGTTGGACGATAGCAAGTTAAAATTGAGCGTTCAGCCTGGGACTTGAACCACCCGGTCAGCCCCAGGCTGAACGCTCAATTTTGGAATCTTGGTTTACTATTATTTATCTAGTGAGCACTCAATTAGCACTTTATTTCGAGTATCTCGAGACTTTATTGCATATTGTTAAATTTCTTTCTCAAATCAGGTATCTCGAAATTTTTTCACTTATTATCGCGGTCGTTTTCATCTTAATTTCTTGCAAGCAACTAATTAGCACTTTATTACCATGCTTAGTTTATACCTAATAGAGCATTCGTCCTCGTTTTCGAGAGACCTGATTCTTAACGTGTTAGGAATCACACGTTAAAAGGTAAGACCTCGTTAATCCTTAGCTCGCACAAGTTTCGACTTCTGAGAGTTGTCGTTCGTAGGGGTGCGACAGCTGGTTAACGTAAAAACAGATTTCAAACAGATTTTTTT